CAGTCACGTGTTTCTATGTCATTGTACATTTGCTATTCCTGAACCTGATAGATAAACGTTAGCTAACACAGTTGACTGCAACTATCAAATTTTCTGATAGGTACAGAATGCCAAATATAAATTACACAGCGTTGTACAGCTGTTTTGTCCTTTTAGGGCTCATCGGTTTTGCAAGATACTGTTGGTTAAGGTACATAAACTTCAAATATCAGAATGCTCTGTATAGATCCGTTCTATTGACCTTAAAAAAGATAAGCCAGTGTTCCCTACCTGAAATGTTTCCAACTACACTGAAAATGTTGATAATTGTCATCATTACCTGACACCATTCCACCCCTTTTATAATTTAATGCCGTCTATCATGAATACAACTACTGCATAAGACCGCTGGTGACCTACAAAATGTACTGTATTTGACTTGAGTGATCATTACTGTATCGCTTCCGGTTGATGATGTCTTTCCTTTTGTCTTGATGTTTCCTCAATTCCTGTTGGTGTCCATTTGTATCAGTTCAATTTCATAATATGTCCTAATGTATTAACGGTATGGTTATTTATTAATTTGTTTAACTTGAATCGTTTTGTTGAATACGCATTACATGTTGACAGTAGTTTTAATGATACACCTTTAAAAGCAATACATTCTGTATATAACTCAGTAACATGAAATAATTTACATATAAATTGTCTTCTATAAGCTGCTGATTCTAAGCAGATTGGTACTGTCGGTCGGGGAATATCAGTTCTTCTGACCGACCCAAATATGCCATGTCCCGTGACATGATCATTAGTTAGTATATATATAAATCATATAACTTCAGGGAATATTGATATGCATGCCATGTCCGAAGGTCCAATAAAAAGTTCGATTATCCTGTCATGTGATCGTTCAACGGAAATATAACTGCTGTTTTCAGCAGTTTTTCTTTTAGTGTGAAGTCTATGGAATAAATTCAACAGCTGTTATGCATAGAACAGTCATTTGCAATAAACGTATAATATATCGATTTATCAACACGTACGTGTTCTGAATCTCAATTTCCTATTATATTTATTCTTTTTTTGAAAATTCAATTTGTAAAATCTTCTTTCGTATACGGGAAGCAATACATTTCGTATGTCAGACATGACGTATATTGGTGCAGTAATTACCAGTCTTGGTGCCAATGCGAACGCGCCGTTTCTGAAATGTGTCGTCACTTCGGACGGTGTTGTTCGTCATTGAAAGGGTGATCTGTCAATGTGACGCTTTGATTATTGGATCGCAAGCATGGAGGATCTGGAGACCGACTTTAAGATTGTTAAAATGTATTATTAAACATGGTTCTTAGATTTACTCGAAATATACATGCAGGGCCTCTGTTTCCAATCTATCAGAACAGTGACCACTTCTTATCGCATAGCACTAGTTTTCAATGCAATATCGCCTTTCTTATATCATTCATCACTATAAAACCTATAGAGATATACTGAAAGTCGCGCGCTGTGACGGCATCGTTTTGGATTTATAGACACTTTGTCCTGGGTTTGACAAAAAACATTGTATCATTTTCTCAATAAAAGGTATAATCATGTTGACTTATATTAGAAGATAATGTTTTTCCTGTGTAGTTAAAGGGATACTAGAAGAAAACAATGTCGTAAACACGCAATTAAGGATATACAAATGTAATATAACGTGAAAGAATCTATATTTGGGAGAGGCTATGATATGTGATATGGATCCAATCATAAGACCTAATATATTATTTACAGGGGGTGATAAAGTTGAATGTGTGCCATGATGCGTGGGAGGAAATATTGAGATATTTGTGTTCGTTTCACTAAAGAACATTGCTTTTTTCATCAAATATTCATCATTAGTTTGTTTTTCGCCTTCTTTTATAATTAGTTATAACAGTATATCAATATATACTTGCAACGTGGGACATCTGATCGTCGATGACAGATAAAAGGCAGAGTGCACTGAGGACAGGGTCAAAGCGTGCTACTATAAATCTTTGATAAGTCATATATTAAATCTATTATTATTCTAATGATTCATGGTAGAAATTGTAATAAAACATATTGTACAGTGACACGAAACACTGCTGGAAATGTCATTCGAGGTCAACCTACCGTAATATAATTTAACACAATAGCATTAATATCATATTGGAATTGAACAGCGATACTTCAAATCATCCGATAAGTCAACCGAGTACATTATGTGATACAGTTCACTGGACCATGGAATTCCACTGAACATCAATAGTATTTAATAATCTAGTTAGGGCACATTGTGTGTGTGCAGGTAATTAAGACTATTTACTCCAAGTTCGCACACAGCAAATCGCAAAATGGTGACAAAACAAGACCCATCATTCCATAGCACTATCTTCCCACGGCTTCTGAACGGTTCAAGCCAGCTACATCAAAAACACTCCAACCAGTACAAGAGTAATGATGAAAAACAAGTACTTGGTAACATTGCGTTATTATCTAAACATAAATCATTTCAATGAGACCAATTACAGCTGGACAAGCTTATTTATGAAGGATGCGAAGCATGTAGAATTCAGATCGTCCTTATTCATTGAGGGGGTCCCAGATGATATTTTATTTGAACAAAAATAATGACACGTTAGTTTGTTCTGGATAAGCGCACTGCTGGACTTTTGTTTAATATTTTATATATAATAACAAAGATAGTAATTACCCTGTAAAAGAGCTTTTTATTAAAATTGCGCAAATAATCTCTAATATTCCGTAATACATGTATGTCAATTGGTAGAGAATAGTGAGTCATATTTTAAACAGAAGCTGTAAATGCTAGTGAACAATCATTCTATTATATGATATCAATGGGTGTTTTGTTAAAGTTCTCGCTCAAATAGCTTATCCACCCAAAATCCACCTTGAAGGTTCTATATTGATTCAAATAATATATTTCGTCCACTGATTTATATAAAAAAGGGTAATTATCCTTAACTTCAAAAGTTGATATTTTTAATCAGATTTAACGACAGTAAGCCTTCATTTGAGAGCTGGAAACATTATCAATATTAAGAACTTAAGTGCAACTGCAGTCAGATCATCAAATCTAAAATAATATTACAATATTTTAAAAACAATCAGATTCCAAAGCATGCTTGCATCCTATTAAGAAAGGGCATAGAATAAAGAGCTTGACTGACACGGAATCTAAAACTAATCAAGATCGTAGTTAATATCTTAACGTTTACCTATTGTATGACACAAGTGATCACCACACTAACAAACTATGACAAATGCGCTTACTTCAGTGACGTAAATTAAATTGTTTTTCAGTCGCAACATCTCCGCCGCTGTCACTGCATCTTAAATGTACTGGTCATAATGAATCGTTATTTAAAAGTCTGCTCTTGTCTTGTTAATCAATAAATTACATCGCCAGAATTTAAACCTGATAGGCTTCATTCTAAGTCGTAGAATTCAAACTCTCGCCGCTATTACCGCTAACCATGGGTTCTTTAATTTGATTATGGACATCTTGATGTGGTTTTATTTCATAATTTTCAACAAAATCCGTATTTATGTTGTATGAATCACTTACATATATTTTCAAATTAGAACTACCTTTTGTTTAAATAGGTCGACCATTTGATAGCCTTGCCGGTGTTGATGGTCCGTTAAGCATTTAATGATTGTTCATAATACATGTTCAAATAGGATATTTATTCATCAATAACTGTCAACAACAAACTCCTTAGAATATAGCAAACAGTAATAATAGGAACTATAGGGATATATTTAAGTCGGATATCAGTTTCATATTTAAACACTGAGTGTTTGATGTCATAGCGCAGGGCAGGACCAATTACAAGGACCGATTGTGATGGTTTCATTGTCTTAATGGAAATTGTCTGGCAATTGTGTTATAAATCAGCAACATTACCGATGCGATTCTATCCTTTCCGTAACAATATAATGACAATTATGCGAAAAACAAACACTTGATAATTTCTCAAATACGGAAATAAATATCATTCAACACCGGTATTTGTCCATTTCTCCCTTATAAGTTTCAGACTATAGAAAATATGTAACAATACATCGGTCAGAATGTATAACTAAAACCTTTGATAGATGAACTGTATAACCCAGGTCTGTGACAAGCGGACCTGTGATCCGTCGAATCCCTCTAAAGGCCCTTATCATTGTTATACATATATATCATGTTCAATCTCCTGGATACAGTGCAGTAGAGATGTGTGTCAGTACTGTTCCAAACAGATAACAGACATCGTTTATCTAGAAACTCACACAGTCCCAGAAGGTGACTTCCTCTGTGTAAACAGATGAAACACAGAGTTACAATAATTCCAACTTTATCTTTTCATAAGCCGAGACCCGTGGCCAGTCTACCATGCATGGCTAGAAATGAAAATAATCCGCGTATGAAATATTCATATATGTTTGAGTCGGTTAGCATTTGTGTACTTAATTAACAAATCATTGGCCTGATATCTGGGATAGTATCGGCCTGTGTCGTGAGGAATTTAGTTTAAGTAGCGATGACATGTGTATCCCGGATGAACATAAAGGGTAATTGTTCCAATATTAGTCACCAGTACAGACCTAGAACTCCTATCACAAACACGGTCACCGTCTACATTGTCGTATCTTAACCTAATGGACTTTCTCTGTTTTACAGATCTGCCTGATGGCCCTGATTTGACAACAAAGTCTCCAACTGTTTGTCGCCGGGATTTGATTTTTCCAAATGGGATAATAGAAGATGACATAGGGCACATTATTCGGTTTTAACATCACAGACGTCTGGACCAAAAATGAATCTCCTGGCGAATTGACACTTAGCATACAACGACCACAAATACATCTTAAAGGAATGTTTTCAGCTTAGAGAATAAGGAGATCGTATAGTTGAATTTTATCAATAGTCGGAAAACATATTACACCTTTAATTTCTGAGATTAATACAAAGTTTGTCTAAATCTAAATAACTGGACCGCGTGAAGATGAACCAGACGACCGACGCAGATATCAAGGATTTGCTAGAGGATATATGTTACAAGTATATTGGGCCTGTACTTTGTGTGTTTGGTATAATTGGGAACATCATAAACTTGATTGTGTTATCGCGCCAGCAGCTTGTAGAATCGCCGTATATCTACCTGAAGGCACTGGCAGTGACAGACATGTCGGCCCTTCTCTTCTCATTCCCCTTTATGGTGGTATCGCGAGAGGCCATCACCCTTTCGTCTAAGTGGTACAACGCCTATGTCTTCCTACCCGTCGTAAACTTCTTCACTGCTTCCAGCATTTGGATAACTGTTGTTATGACCATAGACAGATTTATATTCGTGAAATTTCCAATTTGGGCAAGATGGCGGTGTAGTCGGTTCAGTGCGCAGGTGCGAGTTTGGATAATTCTCGTAGCAACTGTTCTCATAAGTGTGCCAAGATTATTCTGTTACAAAGTGGTGCCTATAAGTGTGGCCAACGCGAATGTGACAGTGACCGACTTACAAGGTTACAGGATTAAACCTACTGACTTCCGGCGGAGTGATTATTATCAGGCCATGAACATCGCTCTCATCATACTCATACATTTTTTGCCGCTCATTATTCTGTGTGTTATCAACATTTACCTGGTCATAGCCGTGCAACAAGCACGCATTGCACGTGAGGAGTTAAATCTTAGAAGCAATATGGAGTCAGAGTGGCAAAAGGATCAAAGACGGTTCACTATCACTCTAATAAGCATTGTTCTTTTAGCTATTGTTTCCATCCTACCCGCCGCTATATGTGATCTCATGGTTGAGATGAATTTTGGGCTTAAATACTCAAAACTCATGCAGATAATATCTAATCTACTTATGTGGCTTAACTTATCAATGAATTTCATCATGTACTGTGCGTTTAATAAAAAGTTTGTGCGCGTTTTAAAGGACGTAATGGGACGAAGTATTTATCGATTTCGGTACTCACTTAAAAGTGTACGTGATCAGAGTGAAATGACAACTATATAACAGCCCGGATGTGAACTAAAAGACAAAAATATATTCCTATAGAGTGTTTCTGTTGTGGGATAAGATGTAATTGTCATTTCATTTCTGTGATAGCTTTGTCGTGATAAAAATTGTTAAATCTTCGGAAACGTCGCACAATCATCGAAAGCAGTAAATGTTTGCTGATTGGCCTCTTGTTACAAGCGTTTATGTGACACTGCTGAAAAAAAGATATTCACATCATATATAATCCCGTCCCAAGAGTTTAGTCTTCGAAAACTTGGCTTCGTAATGCGTTTCAAAAGAAACATGGATTCTTACTCGGAAAGTATCCGGGACACCATTTGTTCATTAAATGTTCAAGGGGAAAGAAATCCACAGAACCTAGGATAAACTTATATATGTGTGCGTCTCCCCTACTACCATGTGATATGATAGTTGCCCAGGAATACGTATAATATTACGGTCTCGTTTTTCTTCAGTTTTTTAAACGTTCATTGATTTCGTCCATTTTACCTACAAGACATGTGGATGACTTAACAGAAGGTGTGTTGTTTACTAAATGCGTTGGTCAATGTGTGTTGTTGAGGTTTCATTATTTTATTTTTTATGACGTTAGACAAGTTGGATCAATGAAACCCGTTTTTTTATAATATGTTTGGCTTTCAAATTTTCTTAAAAAGAATTAGAATTCACCCTTCACCATTCTTACTGTTATAAAATACATTTCTTACACCACCATAGGTCATATCTAAGAATCCCCGTCTACCACGGCAGCGCACTGTGACTATGCATCGGAATTATTTTCCAAACCTTGCAGGACTTTTATGAAAAAATATAAAACTAAAATTCACAATAGAAAAAGAATTGAAAATCGGCAAAGTTGTTCTGAGTGCTAAAATGTTGGAAACATTTCTGAATTACTCGGTCAACGGAAGTAGCCTAGAAAAGTCGCGCTATAGTTAAACATGAAATGAAATTAAGGGGAAATAACTCAATTTATGAAAATTATAGTGGAATTCTTCAGTAGTTTGCCTGCTGTGGGAAAGGGATTCTTAAGGTTGATCTTTGATAGTTTGTATGTATTTTAAACACCGTGTGTTTGCACACCACTTATATATATTGATATACATTGATTCCTGTTATAGATTCTCTGTTGTGTACTTAGGCATGAGTCGTTTTTATGTGGAGGTCACTCTTTTGAGAAAAACAAACGAATAATTTTTACATCCGCTTCACTACCGAGTAGTTCGGTTATCTAGCAAGCGAAGAAAAGATAGGGAAAAAAAATAAAAAAAATTGACGTAACTGTTTCCTTACATTCTCTGTAGCCGTTAGTACAGCGGGCGTTGTGTATGTTATCATTGTGTATATCATAAATGTTGGTTACTGTATGATTTGCGTGTTTTGTGGTTTGTTAAGTTGTCGAGGGACCAATAGTTCTTTAACTGTTCCGCTCACTCCATCAGCACTTACCTTGTAGGTGTACATTGTATCAATGACATTAGTCTCGTTGTTACCGTTTTATCGTTGCTATTTGCTGTTATATTTTTTACTGTCATTCAATCACTGAATAATTTCTAATTTGGAATTGTGTTCTCACAATTCACACCATTATACATACGTATACGCATGATTTCCCTCATTCACTGTGCTAGCATTTAAATAGCATATCAACATGTTAAAGTAAGACTATCAAATACTTGAAAATGGACAAATACCAGTTCAGTAAAATTTGTTCTAAATAACTTTTCCGATATTTAGATGACATTTTTGTTGTTACATGTACTTTTATTCAACATAGAAATATATCTAGGTATAACATAAAATCAACATAGAAATATATATGTATTACTCTAAATTAACATCATTTGTAAAAAGATATATGTATTGCGGTAAACTTTAAATTAACATAGAAAGATATATTTATATATGATAGCGTCAACTTGCAAGGATAAAAAACTGAATTTTGATAAGACAACATTATAAACTAGGAATACAACAAATTTTAAGATAACACAATATAAACCACCACAGAAATTGCTATTGTCAGGTTTACTAAAGATTTATTCTGACGATTCCTTGAAACTATTTCAATGTCTTATTATAGTGCAGAAGTTCCTTAACTGAAAATAATTTGTTTAAATGCTGTGGGATTGATTAATAGTGTGCGATCAGGAAGGCATGGGTTAAGTTTCCTTTGACCTCGACTTTCAGGGAATATCTTTGAATTGTCCATGTATGGAATAGGGCTTGGAAGCAGAATGCCAGTTCTAGTTAAACCAATTACAGCTGTTGTCAATACTGATAAACCAACTTCTTCTTGTTGCCTATTCAACTATATTAACTACATTTTGTCGCCCATAGAGCTATATTTAATTGCTTGTTTTTGACTATTCAGTTGTTATATTAACTGCTTGTTGTTACCCATTCATCTATATTAACTGATTGATTTGCCCATTCATCGATATTAGCTGCACGTTGTTGCCCATACAGCTATATTGAATTGTTTTTCTGCCCCTTTCAGCTATGTAAACTGCTTTTTGTTGTCTTTTTGCTTCTGCTGTATTTACTGCTTGTTGTTGCCAATTCTGTCATTTTAGTTGAGTGTTGTTACCCATTCACCATTAGTAGCAATACAGCTATATTAGTGCATGTTGTTGCCCATTCTGTTATATTGGTTGTGTGTTGTTGCCCATACAGCTATATTAGTGCATGTTGGAGCCCATTCTGTTATATTGGTTGTGTGTTGTTGCCCATACAGCTATATTCGTGCTTGTTTTTGCCCATACAGCTATATTAGTGCATGTTGTTGCCCATTCTGTTATATTGGTTGTGTGTTGTTGCCCATACAGTTATATTAGTGCTTGTTTTTGCCCATACAGCTATATTAGTGCATGTTGTTGCCCATTCTGTTATATTGGTTGTGTGTTGTTGCCCATACAGTTATATTAGTGCTTGTTTTTGCCCATACAGCTATATTAGTGCATGTTGTTGCCCATTCTGTTATATTGGTTGTGTGTTGTTGCCCATACAGTTATATTAGTGCTTGTTTTTGCCCATACAGCTATATTAGTGCATGTTGTTGCCCATTCTGTTATATTGGTTGTGTGTTGTTGCCCATACAGTTATATTAGTGCTTGTTTTTGCCCATACAGCTATATTAGTGCATGTTGTTGCCCATTCTGTTATATTGGTTGTGTGTTGTTGCCCATACAGTTATATTAGTGCTTGTTTTTGCCCATACAGCTATATTAGTGCATGTTGTTGCCCATTCTGTTATATTGGTTGTGTGTTGTTGCCCATACAGTTATATTAGTGCTTGTTTTTGCCCATACAGCTATACTTACATTTTTGTCCTTTCCGCTGTATTAACTGTTTGTTGTTGCCCATACAGCTTTATCAACTTGTGTTTTGCAGTCAGCTATCTAAACTGCTTTTTGTTGCCTATTTTGCTGTATTTACTGATCATTATTGCCCATTCTGTTACATTGGTTGCGTGTTGTTCGCATTTTTTAAAAGTATATTAGTATCCTTTCTGTTTTAGAACCTTCTTATTTTTGACCATTTAGTTAAAATAAGGTGTTACTGCTGGTTGCTTTAAATTCTGTCTGATGAAATGCGTGCAGTCGACTCTGTCATAGATATACTGATTTATACCATTTCAGTTAAATAAGCTGATTATTATATAGGTCATACAACAGTATTATTAGTATAGCATTGTTGCCCAAATGCTTTATTATCTGCCTATTGTTGACCATTCTTTTGTATTAGATTACTATTGTTTGTTACTCATTCTGCTACAGAAAGTGCTTCCTGTTTCCCATTTTATTTTACATCAACTGTTTAGTGTTTTCCGTTCGTTTATATAAACATTTTATTGTTGTCCGTTTAATCTGTATTACCCTTTTGTTGTTTCAATATAATAACTGCTTGCTGTTTTTCTGCTATATAAAATGTTTGCCGCCAGGTATCTTGAACTACTGTTGATTGAAAACAGTTTTGTTAAAATAGCTGATTTAATATCTGTACTTATTTCGTTCCATGTCTCCATTGCTTATTTCGTTCTATAAAGCCATTTTTGTATCTTACGTTATTTACTGTTAAATATACGTATAATTTCACATTAATCATTAAACATTACCAAATATTATTTTTTATAAAGGTAACTGTATAGTTTTTATCACGTAAGGAATTGGTATGTAACCTTTCAATTTTACAGAAAAACTGGACATAAAAATCTTTTTTTTAAATGAATAGAAAAATGAATTTTTGCTTTTGATTTTCTCAAGTGTTAAAGGAAGACATAATGTATATCGAGGTTATGATTTTTTCTGGAAATAAAGGTTTATCTTTTTAAAACGTCGAAAAATATTGTGTGTAACGATGTGCGAAACTTGACGTTACATCTTTACTACAACGACGAAATTCAAATTTGCGAAAAAAATGAAATTATAGTATAATTACCACTCTAACATGTACCAGTTCGACACAAATTAAAATTGTATAAATACTTTCGATAAACGCAAAGGTCAAAACTGCTTACATTCATTTTATCTTAGATAATCCATCATCATACGATTCGTTAGATCTCGATATTTGCTCAACAAGTATTCACTTCTAATATTTGTACAATTGTTTTTATCCACACCATTGAAACGGTATTTGTAGTTTTCATACCACTTTCGATATTGTTGCAAATTAAATGTTTGAATGTTTCATAGCATGTTTGTATTCAAATGGCATGTTATTACCAAAATCGAATTATTGACTTACATAAAAATTAAATATATAAACCTTAATCAACAAGGTTCGGATATCCGAAGCATGATTAGCTTAACAGCAGCTTAACTCAATTTTTCTAATCTAAAATTATTTTTGCAACAGATAAAATTCACGCAGTTTATATCTATATACGTTCAAAACGATAATTTGAAGACAATAAATACAAAAAATGGTTTATACATCTAGATATTTCTGAAAGAAACTCATTTTGAATATTCGCGTGAACAACTCGTTAA